GATTCAACGATTCACGGCTTAGAATATTGTGCCCTTTTGTACAAACAAGCAATCACAAAGACCCAAACCCTAAGTGGATGTCAACGTTGCTTCTATGGATCAGAAGCATTCAACAAAATCACAAACACTATTCTCACTCATTTGGGAGTCACAGAGACTCACTTTCACTCGGAAAACCAGAGAAATCATCCGACCAAGAGTTGAAGATGATGAGAGAGAAGAAGAAAAGGGAACCAACAAATGCACAAAGAGAATTCTAGAAGGCACCACATAAATCAGACCGGAGTAAAATGAACTAGGGCAACAGTGTAAAACCCTATTTATAGTACACACATCCACCGTTCAATTTAAGCCTGCACAAAAAAAATCGCAAATCGAATCGAAACCGTTAAGTTGAAACCGTTAGTTTGGGTCCCCATGATTTTTTTTCCCCCTCAAACCGAACCAAACCGTTTCAAAATGGTTTGATTTAAGTTTTAATTTTCAAAAACTGCACAAAAACGAATCGAACAGTCTTAATTTTTTTAAAATTAAAACATTAATTTTAATAACTTAAAAATTTTACAGTTTTCACTTTTTAGAAAAAAAAAAATATCAATTTAGTTATACAAATTACAACTAGCATATTGAAATAATTATAGAAAGTAAATTAGTTTTATCATTATTGACTTATGATTTAATAAGTTCAAAACAAATGTCCTCATCTGGTATCTAAACTAAACTAAAATTATTCCAAAATTATATGAAATGAAAAAAAAAAAAATTTCAACAATCAAAATCATAATTCAACAAAACTACGTCAACAAATCACGTTCAAAATTTTCAAAAGCCTTAACATAAACTCTCATTTCCCTAACATTTGACGGTTGTTTGCTACTGTTGAATGAATCGTCAGTCGCCTTTGCTTGTTAATCTACTAATTTCTACCTGAATTGTATCTTTTTTCCTTTTCTTTTGGTAAGTCTTAGATTCTTATTCAAGTCATTTTTTCATTGTTTTTTATTTTTTTAACTCATTATACACTTGTGAATTGTGATTTTGATAAAAAATAACTATTTGTGTGCCTAAATGATTAATGAACTTGTTTGTGGTTTGGATGGAACGAAGGACGTATCGTCTTAATTGTGTGAAAATGTTAAATTTCCTAACTAGTACTACTTACTACATTCTACTTTCATAAAGTAGTTAGAGAATGAAAATTTTCAATTCCTAGTAAGTCGAAACTTTATCAATCTTTGTACATTAAAATATATCTCGTTCAATCCTTATTTAACATCTCACTAGCAAGACAAAATGAGTTTTAACCAAACTATAATAATCTAATGTAATTTTATATTTACCAACCACTATATGACAATATGAATGTCAAACAAGAAAAAGTAAATAAAATGAAGAAATGTGTATTTGTTCTATTAATATCTTTTAAAAACCAACTTTGAAAATAATTTATTCATAAATTTTATGTTAAATATAAATGTAATTTAACGTTTAACATTATTAGTTATCGTTTAAGTTTATATTAAATATATTATTATAATGTCGATAGGTAAATCGCGAATTAAAATCAAACCAAACCGCAAATTATGGTATGGTTTGGTATGGTTCAGCTTGAAAAATAAAATGGTTTGATTTGATTTGAAAAAATTTCAAACTGCATAAAATGATTAAGTTGAAAAAACTGCCCAAACCGAACCACTTACTTTAATCCAAGCCTAATTGTCAACCACATTCAACGGTCAAAACTCATGCATTGAGCTCCTTTTCTTAGATAATAACTTCTACTTTTCATTTTCTAATTTGATTTCATATGATGATCTATGGTCTCGAAAGCGGCAACTGAAGCTTCACTTCCAAAATGCGACTTCCACTTATGTGAGTCCTGATTTTGGGCCTCTCATTGGAATTATTGGGCAATGGACCAAATCATTTGAATGGTCCAAGCCCAATTATTATAATTGTCTCACCATTGGACAGAAATTGGCATCACAATCTAAGCAATCTCCACCTTGATACCAATGATAACATAAAATATGATTCTAACTATATGTAATTTGTATCTCATAATCACAACTTCTTGTGATTAACAAATTATTAAGATTTGAATCTACGAACTTTATTGTTTAATTTAATTTAATATTAATTAAATAATAAATTTGACATAAAATTGAATCAACTATATATTAAACAATGTTCAAATTCGATTGGACCTAAGGCATAATCAGGGACGGACCCAAGGAGGGTCCCCTAGGGTCACTTGACCCTCCAATTTTTTTAAGTTTTTATTTTTTTTAATTTTAGTTTTCGGGCTCACTATGGAATATCAAACGAAATTGAAATATTACGTTTTTAATATCATTTTGAAGTACTCACGGACTAATATTTCACGTCGTTAATGTTGTGCAAAATGACCAATTATAGCAAATGTTACGGGGATTCAAATTAGGCCGTTTCAAACTAATATTTTAAGAATTTCGATAACAAGTTAACTTTAAAAAAATTTCGATGATTATACGCTAGTCATATCCATAAATCTTCAATATATGGAATGATCTAAATGAATATTGAAAAGAGTTAAACATACGTCAAACATATATGCCAAAAATGGACGTATAACTCGTCTTTTTTTGAAAAAAATCAATTATTTTATTAATATTTATTATTTTTACGCGACAAATTTCTCAATATAATTTACATTAATTTATTAAGAAATTTTATATGTGGTATGACGTCAAATTTTTTTTTTATAGACGTAAAAATTCTTAATAAAATTTTTATTACTTCATAGAGGTTATAAATTGTTATATTATTTTTTCATCTTGATTATTTTTCTATCTGAAAAAAATTTATATATAAAAAATTCAATCATTTTATATATATTTTTTATTATTGTTACATTTTCCTCTCGATCAATTAATTTTTTTTTTCAAATAACGTCAAAAAATTTATTAGGAAATTTATTAGATTACTTTTAAAAAAAATTAATTGATCGAAAGGAAAAAGTAACAATAATAAAAAAATCCTAAAAATGATTGAATTTTTTTTTTATATATAAAAAATTTTTAAATGTAAAAATAATCAAGATGAAAAAGTAGTATAACAGTTTATAACCCATATAAAGTAATAAAAAAAATTATCATTTTTTAAAGATTTGATTGTGATCCCCTAATGCAAAATGTCGACGTTCGCCTCTGGACATAATACTTACAACTTCAACCAGTCTGGCATTCTGTGCAGCTGTCGGAGCTGGATTACTCCAGCCTTTCAGCTTGAAAAAAGCCGATTAGACATCAGCAACATAAGAATTTGTCATAGACGTTTGAACCCTTATCTTGGGATCTACGTGTTTTCACAATTTATCCGGAATAAATCTCATGTGCTGGTCCATATTTTGGCCAGGGTGCCAATGATAATAATTATTCGACCATTAATTGCAACTGTAAAACCTGCCTATAAGCGATACAGCTCCTCCTTTTTGTTTGATCAAAAAATTGGAAGTTAGCATCAACGTTTGCTAGATATTTTAATCTTTGATATTATTCTACTGTGCGCCTCTGAGTCAATTTTTTTCAAATTCTATGATACTTTTCCTATGTGATGATGTACTCTTGATCTGCGATGCCTAGTAGAGAGTTTTCTGAAGCTATAGGCTACCACAGCATGCTGTTCGGGGTACCTATCTATTATAATCAAGAAAACTATATGTAGATTTCTTGACATTTAAGGCATCTTTGGTTTGCTGTAATATTGGATGGTATAATACTGATTTGTACTATCCATTACACCAACCAAACACGCCACTCGTACTGTGAACACGTACAGTGAACTTATAAGTACATACTTTTCTCTGTGTCTTATAAGCAAACTTATAAGCCACCCAAACAAGAAATGTTTGTTTGTGAGTCGTCCTCAAGTGGCTCATTTCTACGTATAGAGGAAACT